TCCCCCCTGAGGAGCAAGGGCTCCCCAGCTCAGGGTGCCAGTGCTGGGAAGAGGCGCCCCCATAATGTCTGGCTGGGAAAGACGGTGGAGATTGCGTCCGAGTGAGACGGAGGGCTACTGCAGACTGAGGCATCCTCTTGAGGGGCCTGCACACAGACTCGCTTGTTCCCAAATTCAGTTGCTTTGGGCTTTAGTGCAGGGGTGGCAGCTGAAAGGTGACAGGGACATAAGGGAGGAACTGAATCGACTAGCTTCAGGGTGAGGGGTGAGGGGTAGGGGTCAGGATAGCTGTCTCCTTTGTCGAGTCCTCCCCCAACCCTGGCAGCAAACAAAACAGAAACAAACTCATGGATTCAGACAGAGAACAGACCGATGGCTGCCAGATGAGGGATAGGCGAAAAAGGGGAAGGGATTAGGAAGTACAGATTGCTAGCTAGTTATGAAAATACTCATGGAGATGTAGAGTTAGAGCATATGGAATAGCATTAATAATACTGTAAAAACTGTTTGGTGTCAAGTGGGTACTAGACTGATTTGGGCTGATCACTTCATAAGGCATATAAATGTCTCATCACTGTTTTACACCTGGAACTAATGTAATATTGTATGTCAACTGTAATTGAAACATTTCTAAAATTTTTTTTAAAGATTATAGCTTTTGTCTGGGTCACTTTTCCTCTGTCACTCACTCTGGGAGAAGGAAGCTGTCACATCTTGAGGACACTTAGGCAGTGTCGTGCATAGGCCCATATGGTGAGGAACTGAGGTATCCAGTCAACAGTCATGTGAGTGCGGAAGAGGATACTCTAGCCATCAATGGCTGCTGCTCCAGCTGACGTCTTGACTGTGACTTCATAAGAGACCCTAAATCATAACCGTCCAGCTAAGCTGCTTCCTGATTCCTGTCTTTCATAGAATGTGTGAGATAAGAAATGGAGGAAACAAACTTCCAGGAAATCCAGGAAGCTCACAGAGTCCCAAAGAAGTTGGACTCAAGAAGGAACACACCAAGGCACATCATCATTCCATTAGCCAAGATTAAAATGAAGGAGAGAATCCTGGAAGCAGCAAGAGCTAAGGGGACAGTCACCTACAAAGGAGTTCCCATCAGACTGTCAGCGGATTTCTCAAAAGAGACCCCCTTACAGGCAAGAAGGGGCTGGAAAGAAGTATTCCAAGTCATGAAATCCAAAGACCTACATCTAAGATTGCTCAATCCAGCAAAGCTTTCATTTAGAATGGAAGGGCAGATAAAGTGCTTCTCAGATAAGGTCAAGTTCAAGGAGTTCATCCTCACCAAGCCCTTATTATATGAAATGTTAAAGGGACTTTTCTAAGAAAAAGATCAAAACTATGAATAGTAAAATGACAACAAACTCGCAACTATCAACCAATGAACCTAAAAGAAAAGACAAACAATGAAAACAAAAACTAAGCAAATGACTAGAACAGGAACAGAATCAGAGAAATGGATATCACATGGAGGGTTTTCAGTGGGAAAGAATCGGGGGAAAGGTACAGGGAAAAAGCATAACTGGTAGGCATAAAATAGATAGGGAGAGATCAAAAATGGTATAGGAAACAGGACTCAGAACTTACATGTACAATCCATGGACATGAATTAAGGGGGAGAATGCTGGAGGGTTGCGGGGTGCAGGGCAGAGGTGGGGGAAGGGTGAGAAAATGGGAAAGCTATAATAGCATAATCAATAAAATATACTAAAAAGAAATGTTTGCTTTTAAGTCACTAAGTTTTGGAGGTAATGTATTATACACCAATAGATAACGAATACAGCCACGGACACCATGATCTTGGCTCGCTTAGGAAGAAGGCCAACAGTACCTCTCCTGAATCTAGATGACCTGGCCTAAAGTACCATTTTGGCAACTGGCTTTGTCACAAAACCTTAGGTTTTTGGGAGACCTCAGTTTCTCCACAAAGCCACACCCTGAAGTGAAGCAAAATGACTGCATCCTGTGGACATTCCTATCACAAAGGACACAGTGCTGGCTGGGAGAAAGTGGCTTGGCCCTGAACTCCATCCTAATAGATTCAAACTCCTGTGAGACCATAGGAAAGCTTCACAATTTTTCTAGGCCTTTGTTCCTTTATAACACAGCTGTAATACGACCTTCTTGTATGGTTACAAATGGGTAGAGTGGATATAAGGACTATGGAAAACAAGTTTAACCTGCTATACAACCTTGACCAGGGTGTCCAACCTTTTGGCATCTGTGGGCCACACTGGAAAAAGAAGAGTTGTGTTGGACCACACATTAAATACATTGTGACATGTAATCACACAAAACCCCCTCATCATGTTTTAAGTAAATTTACGATTTTGTGTTGGGCCACATTCATAGTCATCCTGAGCTGCATGTGGCCCACAGGCCGTGGGTTGGACACCGCTGCTCTAGACGGTGACATCATCATCATGATGACCGCCGCCACCACCACCACGCTCCACTCAGATGGAATGCGAAGGCTCTGCATTTTATATCATGGTTTTGCTATCAAATAGGAGGTCATCTGGGAAGACCTAAAAACTCCATGCCATGAGGAATAAACACAAATATTCCCTAAAGACAGGTGGGCACCATAAATATGTGCATCAGTTTAGAGGAGGCAGCAGGGAGGGGCAGTGGGGCGTGGTGTGGACACAGCAGTTAGAAAGTTCGTGCCCTCTGTCAAATTTTAAAACGTTGAGGGTCAAGCCAACCAAGTGTGCCTACTAAATTCGATCCACCAAATGCCAAATTGGAACCAAGCTCTGTATCCAGCACCATATCTATTTGTATATATTGCTGTATATATAGATCAATAGAGATTGATGGAAGGTTGGGGCCTCACCATATCCTCTGCAGATGTTGGGAGGTTCTATGAATAGGTCTTCATTACACATCCATTCATTCAATCCAGAAACATTTATGGAATACCCACTATAAGCTACATACAGCAATCCTGTTGTACCAAATTTTGAACCTTAAATCCTTCTATTTTCTGCCTTCTCAAGTTTGGGTTATTTGTACCAGTACTATATTTTCAGATAACGTAGATCCTCTATTTTAAGAAATGAGTTCCAGTCCCAAATCCACAAATAAAGAATTATTATAATAATAGCATATTCATGAAAAGCAAATTACTTATCTTGGCGATGAACATCCTTGTAACTATTTCTGTACTTTTAATGTCAACAGAAAAAAGTAATGTCTAAGTCTGGCTGATACGGTAAATTAATGTTAATAACAGTTTTGACACTAATAGCAAGTTTTAGGGAGAAAAATCTCCAGTCTCTAAGCTGGGTTTCATTTCTTAAAAATCACCTTAGCTCACTGTCACCAGATCCCCTGGAACAATTTCAGCTACTACTTCGTCTTCCCTGGGAGCTTGAAATGTCTAGGGTCTACGTAAAGTTGCCATAGAATTATATTCCTTCCCTTGCCTTTGCTCACTGCAGGAGAAAGCACTTGCCCCCTTGAGTGACAAGAGTGCAGCTCCACAGCAAAGACACATTTCTGAATTCCCCGTAAGCAAATTAGTACCTTCGTGGTTTCATGAAAGAACCACTAGCTGTTTCTTCGGAGTCTGAAAATTAGTTGTGAAAAATGTGAACTATTCAATTACACACCAGATGAATGGGAAACCTCAGGCTTTATGTCATAGAGATCATGGAATACCAGACAGTGGGGTCTGCATTTTATCTTCATGCCCTTCCCTAGTACCGTGCACACGCAAGGACTTTAATAATGTCCTATGCATCGGACCGATCTGAGTGAACACTGTAACATGCCCAGGGAAAAGGAAAAGGAATACAGCCCGTGGCGCCTCCATTCTTTCCAGAAGTCAACAAGGGTTCAAGCAACCCCGAGCAGACTCCGCCAATAGGAGGTGGTTGGACTACAATATCCACCTCTACAATTACTCAGAGGCCGCTAGGCTTTAAGCAAAGCATCTCTTCAAACGTCTCAAACGTTGTTCTTTTTCTATTACTAATTGAGTGTTTTACTTTTAGATAATCCTATAATGAACCAGCTCAAATGAGCAGAGAGGCAGGAGTGACAACCCATCAATAAAATAATTAAACCAAAGTGGATTTTGTTAGAGACTTCTCATGTCATAATAGGAAATCTAGGCTACTTAAAATCAGGGAAATCAAATGGAATCATTTCTTTTTATTTGAAAGGGAAAGTTAGCTGTGGAAGTACTTCTTTCATAGAACCCTCATTAACTCTGCTAACAATACTGGTTATTTACTCTGGAAGCACAGGCACAATAGAATGTACCAACAGAGTACGAGGTGGTTTCCAGAATTTTCTTTTCCCTTCTCACAGTTTTCATTCAGATTTTTCTTTAGAATTTAGGCGAGAGACCCTCAACATTTTCTCTGTTTTAAGATTCAGATTGTGGCCACAGTCCCCAAAGACTTTTGTGCCAACGTGTACGTGCCATGGAAAACGGCAATCAGGGCATGAGGGGCACAGACGCAGAGAAAAATCCTACCTCTTCTCTCTCTTCCAACCAATGAGAGAGGAGAGTTCCAACAAAAGCTACCAAGGCAGATACATTTCTTTTGCAGTCTCCTCCCCTGGCTGATCTAAGAGCCCGTGAGTCTTGTCTTACAACACAAGTTGCCCGACGCCACTGACGCAGTTCACCCTTACCCCCAAGCTCTGCATCCTCCCCACCTGGGAGCCTGGGATGAGCTACGGAACCCACTTCTGCAGTAATAACATTCATTGATTACCATAGGGCTTCGAGCTCTGAACAAGAAGTCAAAAGAGAGGCCAGAGCTGGCTTTGGGTACTCTTGGGTAGCATATTGAGGCATAGAGCAGGCACTATTAAATAAGGAAGTGACATGAACTTCCAGTCACTCAGGCTGATGGGTGCCCAAAGTGGCCGCATATTGGACTTAGATAGGTGAGACCCTTGAGTGATTACATGAAAAGTGGTTACTGAATACACCCGTCATTGTGGGGCCAAGTGAAAGAATCACATACCCATGCTCCGTCAGGCCCAAATAGTTCGAGGAAGTTGCCGATGAATTCCCTGGACTTCTCTTCCCACTTCTGAATTAGATCATGACTCTTTTCTTCCACTCGGTTCACAAATTCCTTTGACCTTTCCTCCACGGTCTTTACTTTTTCTTTCATCTTGTCTACCTGATTTTGAAAGCGGTATTTCTTCTCCTGGTCAAAAATTAAAGGAAATAAAAAAAGCATTTATCTGAGAGCGCATGAGCGAGATCAACATTCACACTAAGGCTCTATTTTACTTCAGCCTGTGTGCGTTCTTAATCTGAAGAGTCAGGGTGTTACCATTTCCCAGAGTGGGACTGATGGGAAGGAGCGTCTCCCTTGTTGTTAGTCTTGCTGGGTATGTAAAGTGAAGTACAAGTGGTTTTAATATTCCTTCTTTTAAACATCTTAGTTGAATTCACTTATTTAAGAGAAAAACCAAAAATACATGCATACTTTTACTGTTAGGAGTAGATATTGGGCAAATACACCCCCCCCCCAATTCTGCTGAAACTTAGACAAAAGCATAAACTGTATCCAGAATGGCCACTCAAAGGCGGCCTGAGTCTTCTCTTTTACTGGGCATTGTTAAAACCACTATTGGTTGAAAAAGAGGGTCACTGGCTGGGCCTTAGAATCCATGTATTATGCTAAAATTTTCATTATAATGATATTTTCCATTAAGCTAATTGAACTGCATCAATTGCCTGGGTGACAAAGATTTTATCCTGACAGCTTCTCTTGACTGGGACTTTGCTTTTCCTATGGTCTTTATGCAGCAGTGCTAGTATCTATGTGCCTGGAAGGCACTGTATGTTATGCAAGTTGTGTGTCACCTCTAAGCCTCAGTTTGCTCATCTGTAAAATGGGATAATTCATCCCTACCCTACAGGGCTATTGCAACAATTACGTAAGATAATACGTGGAATGTGCTCTGGCACAGCCTGGCATTTATTCAAAGTTCAGTTGCATTGTCTGTTTCATTACTATTAAGTGGCATGTGCATTTAATCCTGTTACCTGATGAAAGTGGTCAGAAAACCATGAAAATAACATGAGACAGGGGGGTGTTTCCCTCCATGAAATCATCATCTAGTTTCTCCTAAATAGGTAGTGAGGTTGATTGTTTTTCTTCTTTACATGGGATCGAAGTTCATTTATATTTCAGAATATTTTGAGGCAACTGTAATATTCCTAAACTGGGTAAAGACTCCCTGGTTTAGACCTTCCAAGCTTAACTGCAGCCTCAGGGTGGGTGTGAGCTATATGTGCTGCCACTCAGCTGTTTTTAATATATGGTTACTATACCCAGCACTCAGGGGCAGCATGCAGTAGAACGGGCACTGGACTGGGAGCTGTGAGGTGGGGCGGCTGTTGTGGCCTCCCATCTACTTGGCTGTGGGACCTTGATCACAGCCCCTCTGAGCTCAGCTTTCCTCATTTCTAAATGCAGGGGCTTGGACTGGGTGACTGACCCTCAGTAGGTTCCTGTCATTGCTGAGGTTCTGTGATTCATCTACATGCCCATCCACCACATCGGAGTCCATCTCTGGGCTGAAGCCAGGTTGGTTGTCACAGAAAGGCCATAAGAGTGTCCTTGCTGACTACACGGTCCCCTGAGCTAAGTGGCTTATCCAAAGGCTGCTTAAAGAGAATGAGCGAGAACTTTTGAAAATGGCATGAGATGCTTGGATGGTTGACTGAATGTAGTTTAAAAGAACAGTTTAATTTATTGACATAACCAGGGATTTATTCTCTATGAGAATGCCGAATAATCACTTTGAATTCTTTGCGGCCACTTGAATCCCACATTTTCCACTTTGTTGTCTGACTTGCGTGAAGCCAACAAAGCCTGGACTAGCAACACCCCCACCTCATGAGGGACAACTAATAATCCCTGATTTATAATTAATGAAATGAACCCCTCCTCATTGTGAAGGTACTAATGGTCGAGTTGTGTAAGCTGCTGGATAATTATGGCTATGTGTAATTATAAGCATCTAGTTTTGTAGAAAAATCCCTCTTTAAAAATACAGTATCTATTTTGGGGAGCTGAACTTCTGTAGGGATGGAGAGTTCTTGTTTTAATCAACTACATGGGCTCATCAGAGTCCAGGCAAACCGAGTTGTCCAGATTTGCTAACATCACCTCCAGCAACTGGGCTGCCCTCTTTGCTTTTTAACAGCATGTTTTGCTTGTTTTAAAGATTGTTTTAACAGTTGCTCTATTATTAAACTAACAGCAGCTCAGTGGGAACAATATGGCAGAAATATCCAAGGAAACCAAAGACTTTAGGCTTTATTTAAGCAGCTGTAATTTCTCTGGACAATAAAAAATAGCTGCGAAGGTGTCTAGCAAGCATCTGTAAGGCCTTAATAAAATGAAAATTTTAACGTGTTAGAACAAGAAAGCATTTTTTGGGGGTGTAGCTTTCCATCATCTCTCTGAGCCTCCCTTCTTCCCTTTGAGGAGAAGAGAACTCTTGCCTTTCAGGAGGGTTGCTTGCTTCTCTCCCAGAAACCCCTGACCCGAGTCTGAGAGCTCCTAAGAGAAAGGTTGGGATGAGGGGAGGGAAGCAAGGCAGCTCCTGTGTAAAATGTGAAACTCACTACCCGTATATGCCTTGGTTAACTTACGTTACTCCTTTGGACATTGGTTTTTCCATCTGTAAAATGGGAATAATAATAAATCATTGGGTTGTGATGTGGCTTGAATGAGACAATACACATAAAACATCAGAAACACTGAGTGGCATATAGTATGTGCTCAATAAACAGCGGTAGTGCCGTGATGTGGTAGTCCTCAGAGGGTACAGGGTGGCACACTTACATTTATAAAGCTGACATTCAGTTCCTTGGCTGTGTATCCTCTCTGAAGGTTGCGACGGGCATAAACATCGTAGTCCCGGACAATTCTTGTGATGATGTCTGATGTCGAGATGCCTTCTGTTCTCTGAGTTGGAACGAACATTCCTGTTCAAAGAGTAAAAATAAGATAAAGAGAAAAAAATTAAGACACACTTGGGTCAACCCATCTTCTTTCACCCTCCTTTCCAGGGCAAAGGTGTACTGCTGGGTGTGCCAGCAAGGTTTTCACATCCGGCCCCAGCTGACTCTTCCAGGCTCTGTCCCGTAAGCTCCTTTTCTGCCGTGTATACTGAGTGTTCATCCATCTAGACTGTTCCCTGGATGCACCTCACACCCAGCTCCTGGCATTTGCTCAGACCCAGCCCTTCCTCTCTGCCTTGAATCCTCCTCCCTTGCTTACATCAGCCACATCATTTGTCCTCATCCTGCAGCATCCAGCTTTGAGGTTATACCTCTGGGAAGTCTTTCCTGACACCTCTGGGCAGAATCTACAACACTGAGGACACACGAGAAGGGCGCCCCATGTAGCTATGTAGCACCCCTTCCATTAACGGAAGTATTTTAAATGTCTGTCTCCTTGTAGAAAGAGAACATTCCGAAAGCACAGATTATGCCTTGACTGTCTCTGCTTCTCCAGCACCAGGCTCAGTGCCCCCGTATGTAGCATACGGAAGGTGCTCAGCAAATGCACAGTCAGTAAGTGAATGGAGAATAACAATTGAGTCAATGACTCAGATCACCGCATCCCCCTTCTTCCCCAAGGAGATCTGTGTCATGTTATGCTGAAGAAAAGGTGTATTTTTGTTGTCTCTGATCTAAAGACATGCTCGTAGGGTGCCAGATGACTTCATTTCCCTAGGACTGTTCTACTCTGCATGGTGATTTCACCACTCAAAGGCCCTTTCATCCAGAATATGTGGGACTAAGTAAAAAAAAAAAAAAGAGTAGATGTCAAATTCCAAAAGAACTTCCTTACAGCCAACTGAAATACTGTGCTGGCAATTGAGATCTTTCTACCCAGTATGATTACGGCTACTAAGTTAGAGACATCAGGCACGGGATAGCCTGAGGGCAAGGGGGCTGGATTCTTGGGTTGTCAACTTGGGCAGTTTCTCAAGCTTCAGAAGGCAGATTACTGAATCTCAGTCTCCAAAGCTCAGAAATGAGGTGGCCAGACAAGATGACCTCGACTCAGCCATGCCAGTTCCCTCTTCCTCACTCTTCCAAGGTTGTCCAACCTGTGGCTTGCGGGCCACATGTGTCTCAGGATGGCTATGAATGTGGCCCAACACAAAATCATAAATTTACTTAAAACATAATGAGATTTTTTTGTGAAATATATGGCTCATGACAACTCCTCTTCTTCCACTGTGGCCCAGAGATGCCAAAAGGTTGGACACCCCTGCTTTACACCCAAGTTCCTTCCAATCACCAATCTGCTTTGTACATGTCTCCCCAGCCGACCCACTCTTCTGCATTCTCCATTTAAACCAATGTAACACCATCTTTTCCACAGAGCCTCAATAGCAGTCTCCAGAGATGCCATTTTTATCCCCCCGATTCTCTCTCCACACAGCAAGATCGCAGAGCAGTCTTTCACAATGCAGGTCATATGACTGCCCAACATCCTTCATGAGCTTTCCACTGCCCTCTGTATTTAGATCCAAATCCCTAACCTGGCTCTGCAGCACCTTGTAGCATCTTTCCTGTGCTTCTCTCCAGTCTCACCCCCTATACTCGCTGAGCCAAGTCCCTGTGCTATATAGAGGCAGGGGCCCCATTCTCATTGTATTCAATGGTGCTGGGCAACAGGCGGAGCCCCTCCCCTTACTCTGGAGCCCCTCCCCTTACTCTGCCACAGACACACTCCTTCTTTAATTCCCTGTCATCCGCTGGGTTTCACCTGTACTGTCACTTCCTCAAGGAAATCTCTCAACCCTTGACTGGGTCTTCTGGTTGCTGTTTCCCTACTAAGGTCCAACTGCCCTTTCCCTTCAAATATTCCAAGGTCTTTATAAAACAACTTGCTCAAAAAAATGTCTCCCCCACTTGACTCTATGCTAACCTGGGGGAAGAGACTGCTTGTGTCTCATTCTCAGCGGCAGGTGACAAGTAGGCACTATAGGCACATCTGTTGAATGACTGACTTAGATGAATACTGATCTCTAGGTGCCTTTGCAAATCCAGTTTTCTGATTCAGTCAACATGGGCGAATTTTTTTGTCTTTTGGACCCTCCTACGGTGTCTCTTTGGAGCTTTCTTTTGCTATCACTGCACATTCACAGTAGTGGCAGCAGGGTGGCACTGCTGACGTTAGAGACCAGGCATCTGGTTTCTAGCATCCTGTGACTCAGAGGGCAGAGGTGGGGTTGCCACTAGACCAGAAAATTCTTTTATCATCTTCTAAAAAGGTGGACTCCAGAAAACCAGATGGAAGGCAGAGGGTGCAAACAGCTAAGTGCATGAATATAAATAGCACCCAAGTGACTTAGCTGTGCGAGGTGCTTTGGTGGGCGGGGAACCGAGTGGTCCCAAGTCCGGGGGGCAAGGGACTTCAGCACAAAACAGCCTCATCTTGGTGGGGGCAGCAGGGAGCTTTCTGGTGAGGAGTATGCCTCACCTTTCAGCAGATAGACATTTCATGCCACCCTCGCCTGCTGAAATGTTAAGATTCTCTAGCTATTAATGGACTTCAGCAAATCACTTAGACACTGGTGACATGAGCTCACCCTTGCTTTGAAGCCACAGGGTGAGGTCTCTGTAGCTGAAGAACTGAAAGTTGGTGTTGGGGAGAGATTTGCTTTGGCTGGTTGAGAGGTAGGTCTCTGAAAGAAGCCAAGCCCTCTGCTGATATAATGAGGCACCCGGCTTCCTCCACATCCTAATTATTGCTCTGCTAAAAATATTCAGTAATGAGCATGATCAGAGAACCTTTTTTATCGTGCTTTTCAGAATTGCAGCGTTTGGTTATGGAGCTATTTTAAGCAGCAGCAAAGCACATGTTAATGAAGGAAACTTTCAACAGTAGTAGGCAATATTAGAATGATGATGAGTAATGGTGGACCTTACAGTCTACTTCATTTAAGCTCCATCTTGTTGTCCAGGTTGGCCGCAGGATTTTGACACATGACCCTGGCAAGCGGAGCAGAGTGCTATACAGTTTAACTCATGCCCTTAATATCTCTGGCTTCATTTCAAGCGATTTCTGACTTTCAAAATACACCTTCAGTATAAAAGCCAAATGTGGATGCTTAGGCCATCTCTGAGCATCTTTCTCCCACAATGAATAGCAAGCACTCTGGCCTCCTCTACCGGGGCCCCAAACAGAGCTCTGTGGACCTCTCCCTTGGTCAGGACTCAGCAGAGCAGCTCAGTGAACCTCAAGAAAGGGTCCCTGTGGTCTTATGCCTATGCTCCCAGGGCAAGTGAAATACCACCTGACTATTCAATTTGGAGATGGGAACTGTGGTTGAATTAAACATGGGCACAATTCCCATCCCCTGGAATCTGGGCTGGCCTTAGTGACTTGCTTGTAACAAATCAACTGTGGTATAAGTGACCATGGGTGACTTCCAAGGCTAAGTCAGAAGTGTGCAGCTCCTCTTGAGATGGCCAGCCCTCCAGATGCCTCCTCTTAAGATGCATACTCTTGGAAGCCAGCTGCCATGCTGTGAGAAGCCCACGCAACACGGAGTAGCCGTGTACAGGCGCTCCAGTGTCAAGCCCAACTGAGCATGTTGTGGGCAGCCAGCCTCTGTTGCCAGCCACGTAAGTGCCCCATTTGGGGCTTCCAGTCCAGTTGGGACTTCAGATGATTGCAGCCCCAGCCAACAGCTGAACAACTGTCTTAGACACCCTAGGCAAGAACCACGCGGCCAAACCCTTGGTGAAACCCCGCCCCACCAAATCACAAGCAAAATAAAGTGGCTCTTTTAAGTCACTAGCGGTGGCAGTAATTTCTTGTGCAACAATAGGGTGCTGGATTGCTTAGAGTTAAAAAAATGTTGGACTTGTTCCTACATGTAAACAAGTAGACTTGAGGTTTGATGCCCTAAAATCAGAAAGCAACTTTTTCTTAGCTCACTAGAGGTTACTCACCCAGAAGTAAAACCACCACTGAATGCCTCTTATTCTCGTTCTTGGAGTGACAGAGGAACTGTCACCCTAGGAAATGTTGAATCAATTAACCCTGGGGGTAACCCTGGGTGACCCAGAATCCTTGGTCTAGATTCTCACTACTCTAGGTCAGGTGTATAGACTCGCAGTTTCTAACAGCTTGGGAGCACATCACAAAAGGGGGGTCTTAGGTCCCACCAGGCCTCATGTCCAAATCTGCACTTTAAAAAGATCCTGCAGGGATCTGTAGGCACATTTCCATTTGACAAGCACTGGTCTGTACCGGGTCCTCATGACAGGTTTGGAGCAGCTGGCTCACAGCTCAGACCTTACAGAAACTCAAACTGATGTAACTGCTGTATCAGCCAGTTTTTTCCCCTCCCGGACATGGTCCTCAGCAGCCTTGCAAGTCTGAATTGTATTGGGTTTCCTTTCTTGGAACGCCTTTCAAACAAGATCAGGATTTGAGAATGTCAGGCCTCCCAGTCTTACCCGATGCTCCTGACCACTGAGGGAGCCCTTTCTAAGGGCGCGGGGACAGAACTGACCACCAGCCCCTGCTGGGGGCTGCATGGAGATTCCCCACGTCAAGGGAAGGTAGATGAAACTAAGAATCCAGTAGACTGCGTTCAGCTTTTGACTTCTAAAACAGGCTCGTGTAAAGGTTCATTTCAAAAAGAATAGTTATGAAAAGTAAGGCCTTTACCTATAGGAGCCAGACTTTGAGGAGTACAAAAAGGTTTTCTAAATCCCAGAAATGCCCCTCTAATGGTTAAGAACCAAAAGCTGAGTAGACTCAGGGTACAGAATGTTTTACCATAAGCCCCGGAGTAAGGGAGACATGAAACTGACAAGAGGGTGGTTTCCTGCCTCCAGGAAAAAGAAAAGCCCCTCCTGGGGTTGAGGGAAAGAGCCCAGACAGGGATCAGGAGACAAGCAGCGAAGCCAGAGAACGTGAGCAGGGCATGTCCCATGCCCCCCACTCACCTGAGAAAGCCCCAGGGGCAGGGAAGACACCCCTGAGAAAGCCCAAAGCAGAGGATCCGGCACACTGTTTATCTCCAGGGAACTTTTGTGGGGAGGTGAGGCCTCAGTAGAGTGTTCCGCATGATGGGCATGCCACGCAGGGCCTGACACTGCTCCCTCCCACTACCCGTGTTTCCCTTGCCCTCCAGGAAATTATGGGGGACATTTTCCAAGTTTCTAGTGACCCTCCCTAGGAAGACTGAAGGTGCCTGAGATTTAAGACCAGCATGACTGCTGAGTGGCACACTGGTAGCACAGGGAGTGAAGGTGACTGAGTGTCAGAAGGTTGCGATGGGGGTTTGGCAGCCACAGGTGATGGCTGAGCAGGACTAGATACCCCCAAATCTAAGGTCAACCAGAACCAATCTCTACCCTATGACAGGCCAATATGTAGGCCCCCAAAACCACCAAAAGAAAAAGGCTTAAAGTTGACTCTACATGATCTAAGTGCAAACCCAGGAAAGTCGGAATTACTTCAAATATGAAGCAGGGTTTTTCCTGGAAATGGGGGCTTCTAAGTAAGTTCAGTTACAGAAATCACTTTTGTTCTCTTAGCCAGTTGGTCACTCCCCTATAAGAGACCTGCTGATGGTACTCCTGAGTGAGAGGGGCAACTAGCTTCATGTGACATACAGAATTAAGCCCAAACCACCTGTCCTGCCGGTCTCCATCTCTGCTCTCACCTCCACACACCCTGTACAACACAAACCCTCTAGATTTTCTCCAAATATGCTGCATTCCTTCATATACTCCTACCATTGGGCACGCCTCCCTAGCTTGCTATAGATGCCCCATGATGCTTATAATATGTTGGTTAATGTTATGTCTGTTTCTGCTCTCTCTCAAGGGTTGGGGTTTATCTTATTCATATTTGCATTCCATTTCCCCTCCAACAACTGCTGGCTTGGGGATGCACTCAGGGGATTCACGGGTTAACCAATTAAATCAGAACCATCCAAAGGTGAACCAGGCTGTGCAGGCAGGGAGCTCCTCACCCCATCTCATCACAGGAGATGGACAAGCATCAGGTCTATCAGATGCTGACAGTGATTCCAAGGAAGGGATAGGAGACTAAGTTAGTGACCCTCAGGGGCCCATTTTATCTGGAGAATCTGAAGGTCCATGAATTCCAGGGAAAGGCTGCAGTGGCAGGAGGGTAAGGGTGCCGGATGGTGGAATTCCAAAGGTCCCCATGAACAGGGAAGATAGCTCTGATGGCGAATATCAGCAATGGGGGCAGCTCAAGTATAATGTAGGGAGTATATTAGACTTCTTGAAATCCCTCAGTAAAGCATATGGTAATTCAGTAGAGTATCTGTATCATGCCAGATCATGGTTTAATGTATGTAGGAAGGTACACATGGATGCACCTACAGTACCTATCCATGGGATGTATGACGGTAAGCAAATCAGCAAAAAATAAACTGAGACAGTAAAAATCTCCTTCTGCATCTACCTCTAGATAAAAATACCAGTTCCAGCCCACCTCTCCCTTACTCTTCCCTGCTCCGAGATTCTCACGCGGCAATAGGCCGACGGGAGGTTTACAGAAGGGGGTCTAATGATGGAAGGGGATGGAGAAGCTGAGTAATTCAGGTTACTATACCGCCCCCTCCACCTTGGACATCTCCATTTTTAGGGCCAGAAAAGCCTTCTGACCCTATTAGAGGATAAAAGTAATTACCTTTTCCCCATCTGTCTTTTTAAGTAATCCAGACAGATATAATCTGGGGAGGCAGGGGATTTTCAAAATCCCAGCAATGACTATTTTAATTCTCAGGTGATTATTTTAAACTCTGTGACAATGATGAAAAACCTCAGCAAGGAAAAATGACAAGTACTGGGTAGCGAGTGTGCAGCAGAGCCTATTTTTCCATTACACATCTGTCCCCCCCAAAGTACCTACAATTTGTGATTTATAGTCTTGCCTGTTATAATTAAAGCAACAAAAAAGCAAATTCATAGATATAACTTTAAAGCTCTTTCATTCAGAAAAATCACTTTTGAAATCAACCAAATGGCAAACCCTTCCATCTCTCACTGAGATTCTGCTGGGCTGTGAGGCTATGATGACTGGTAGTACTGTACTCGCTGTACTGCGGTGGGTCTGGAACTGCCCCTGAAGGATCTCCGAGGTCTGCCTGTAATTTTGTGGTCAGCATCTCCTTCAGTAAAGGGGCGTGTGAGGGACTCAGAGCCAAGACACCAATGAAAAGCAAACAAACTGGATGCAAAGGTCCATATAATTCAAGCCAAAACATCACCCTTACGTACACATAATAGGAACAATCCCACGCAATAGAACAGCGGCAAATTATCGAAATGGCTCCATTCCCCATGTGTTGGGAAGGCTTCCGCCTTAAGCTAACTCCCCACCGTACTCCATAAAAGTACCCTTGTTCCTCCAGCATCCACGCACACTCCACATATACCAAGCACTGTGCTGGGGATACAAAAATGGGGGAGATGCGGCCATGGCCTGTGGCACTTCATTCTAGCTAGGGACGCACACCAAGAAACCATCAGGATGACGTGAGAAGGAAAATGAAAGGGAGGTTATGTGAAATGAGTGTCCAAGAAAGGCAGGGTGGGGAGCATGTCTAAGCTAGCTCCTCACCTGAGCCTGGAACAGGCATAGAAGCTTAGAGGAAGGGCATTCCTAGCCCAGAGAACAGCAGACAGAGCAAAGGAGCTCAACAGGGTGTGCCTGGATCACAGGGCCTGTGGAAGGCGGTGCAGAGAGCCCAGACTGGCGAGATGGAAAGGCTGCACAGGGCTGAGGGAGAGAAACTGATAATAAAACCCAGGAGCGGCCAGAGACACGAAAGGGCAATTAGAAGCAAGTGATGGACAAGAGCATCTAAGAAAGGAGAGTGGCCAGCCTGGTCATTATGCCCGGACGAGGACTGAAATGAGGCTGCTGGATTTGGTGGTTTGAAGGTCCCTGCGGAACTGAGGGAGGATGGACAGAAGTCAGAGTGCAGGTGACTGAGGAATGACAGGGAGGTATGCGTGCAACTTGCCTGGAAAAGGAGGCCTGAGGATGTGGCTGGAGAACGAGGGAAGAGGAAGCATAGAGGAAGGAGTTGGGTTTGTTTCATTTGTTTTTATAGAGCTCCCCATGACTGCAAGCTGGGAATAAACTACTAGAAAGTGAGAACCTTGAACAGCAAAGAGAGGAAGAAGAATGAAAGAAAACAAGCTCCAGGGAAGGGAGAAAGTAGATTCAGATCAAGAGGTTAGCCTGTCCCTGGCTGATGTAGCTCAGTGGATTGAGTGCGGGCCTGCGAACCAAACGATCGCGGTTCGATTCCCAGTCAGGGCACATGCCTGGGTTGCAGGCCGGTTCCCTGCAGGCCAGTTCCCAGCAGGGGGATGCACGAAAGGCAACCACACATTGATGTTTCTCTCCCTCTCTCCTTCCACCCTTCCCCTCTAAAGATAAATAAATAAAATCTTAAAAAAAAAAAAAGAGGTTAGCCTGGGACAGAAAAACAAACCCCTTTTCCTCAGAATGCAGGAGAGGAGGCAAGAATGCAAGAGTTACAGATAAATTGGTTGGTAGGGAGGGAAGAAGAAGGAATAGATGTCACCAAGGAGCCCCAAGCATCCCACTGAGACTAGAAACCACAGATCTGTTACTTCTGAAGCTCTAGTAGTGATCCAACAGCATAGGACTAGGAACACAGAATCTGATGAAGAAATTAACTCCAGGGGGTCTGCAACAGAAGGAAACCCACCTCTCCATCTCCCCAGCCCCAGGAACACCCTTGAGTTGACTGGTCTCTGAGCTTAACAGAAATGCTTAGTGACAAATGGGACAACTTCCAAAGTTCAGGCACCATGTCTGCCCTCCACAGCAACACTTAACAGCTCTGGGAAGAAAATATATTACTTAAATCTACAAATACTTAATCCCTTCTTCTTGGTCTCTGCATGTGGTACCTGAGGATATTATTACCACGTGACAAGATGACACATGACAGAACTGACTCTGCAGATAAGGAGTCCCGGTCATTAATTAGCCAGTTATCTGTCTTCTTCTGGAAGGGACTTTCTTGGGAGTATAAAATAATTTCGTTGTGAGGACTTCATTGTGAATAAGGAAAACGACTGCCCCTCCATCAGGTCCTGTGATTTTAGTCTTATGAACTCTAAAATCGAGCCTCAAACCGGAAGTTGAGTACTTTGGGGCTCAGGTTAATTCCTATATAATTACCTAACCAGTATCTGCACTATTTAGCACACGCGAACAGTCTTGTAGAGGCTACCGGGGGTGCCTCTGAAATCCCAATACCTGGTATGTGTACACTGCAGGCCTAGGGCAGATGCCTCATTAAACCTGCTTATTGTGCCACAGTGGACAGGGGCACCCAGAACTCCTCACCTGCTTCCTTTATGTGCTTGTAAACATCATCAGAGCCAGCAGAAGAGTACGGAATGTCATCATGGGCCACAAAGTCAATCTGTTGGAAAGAGAGAAGAGTATGTCACCACTGCGGTGGAATTTAACTCATCCTATAAACTGGTGTCCCCTTCCAATGGCACCTTCATGTTCCCCGTTTACGTAGGTTGCAAACACCTTGGAACTGGCCTCATTTCCTCTTTATTGCTACTACACTAAGGCAGGATTATTGATACCAACTTGCAGCTGGCCTTCCTCACGGCAGGCTCCTCTCCAAGCCATCCCTCCGTCTCATGGGGGATCCTCCTTAACCAGAATTTTCTCTTTGTCATCCTCGTGCCTGCTGATCTCTACTAGTTCCCTACCACATCAACTAAAAACATCCCTGCCGAGCTTTCACAGCTCTTTATAACACAACTACACTCCACCTAAAGAGGTAGTTAGAGTAGCAGTTTAACTGGCCTGGATATGTTTCCTGCCCCACCACTTACAAGCTACATAACTTATAAATTGGTAGTATCGATTAAATCAGGATTTCTTAATCTCGGTACCAGCGACATTTTGAGCTGATAATTCTTTGAGGGGTTCTGTTCTGCACACTGTAGGATGCTCAGTAGCACCCCTGGCATTTACCCACTAGATGCCAGTAGCACCCTTCTAGTTGTGACAGCCAAAAATGCTTCCATGCACTGCCCAATGTCCTTTGGGGGCAAACTTGCCCCCACCTGAGAATCACTGAGTTAAAATGATATATTATATAAAAATGTTTAAAAGTAATACCTAGTACATACATAGTAAGTACTCAATAAATGTTGTTATTATTCTATTCTTAGTACTCAAACTTAGTTCCTCCTCCTGTCCAATGTACAATGTTAACAATGCCAACTTTTCAGGGTAGCCATGACATTGAATATGATTTGTGTAACAGCAAAGCACTTAGCACAAGGCTGGGCACATGGTGAATATTCAGTAAGTGGCAGCCATCATCACCATCATGAGTCTCCCCATAATGCCTAGCACAAGTTGAATATATAATAGATGCTTAGTAAAAATGTGTTAGTGATTGCTGGAAGTAAATCATATTGTAGCTCTTGCTTTTTCTTTTTCTTCTCGCTGGGAAATTGTCTCCTCTGCTATTACCAATGCACATTTATCAGTGTTCTCTATTCTCTTCTGCATCGTGAATTTAAAAATAGACAAGAAAACTCTTAGAACAGCTTAATCTTATTTTTTTGTGCTGCTTATAAAAGGAAAGAATAGCTCCTAATGCGGGGCTGGTAGGGAGATACAAAGCACATAATTTGATGCAAATCAAAAGAATTTCTCATGTTTTCAGCTAATACAAATCTTATATCGGTAGGAGCCTCAGGGTCACAAAATCATAGACATAAAGTTCTTTCCTTAAAGTCTGACCCCTGCCCTGCTGGATAAGATGTGTGTTCATCTGTTCCATGAAAAATGCCTGCAAATCTATAAGCACAAATAACGACAGTGCAGTGGCTGCTGCTGCTGCTGCTGACGACGACAACAATGACATTTCTGGAGCTCTTGCTATGAGCCGGCCACTGTTTCAAGGGTTCCACTTAGACGAACTCATTAGATCCTCAAAACAGCACCATGAGGAAAGCACCAATATCACCCCATTTTACAGTTTAGGTACATGAGTTCAATATTTTGCTCAAGGTTAGGGAGGGATTAGAGACCACACCTGGACCAGGTGGGGGCTCTAGCGCCAAAGCCCACAGCAAAGAAGTGAGAGGGTATCAGTCCCCAGCATTGGGCAGGAGAGAGGTGCTACATCAAGTGACACCAAATGACAGTTGCTTTTTTAGAAATTGGAAGCATCTTTGGACTTTCTGGATATTGGCTGCAGAGCCAGACTCCCAATTCTGCTACTTAGAGAACAAGAAAGAATAAGTACCTTGTGTTTTTCCAAAAACTCGGGTGTGAGTGTCCATGGAGCATCTCTAATGACTTCATCTACATAGCGGCAGTGTCTGAGAGCTTCATATCGCTCGGCTTCATTCATCACAGTGAAGCCTTTGAATTTGTGGGTAAGGTTATCGCTGCAAACTGAAACAGGCAAGCACATTAAATGCTGCACGCTGGCCCCAGTCCTGCTCACAGCCATCCAGTACAGACATGGCTTCTTTTTTTAAAAATTTAATCTTTATTGTATTTTTTCCCATTACCATTTATTTAGTCCTTTTACCCTCCTCTCCCCAGCAATCACCATACTGTTGTCCATATCCATGAGTCCTTTTTCCTTCTTTCTCAATCCCTCCACCGGTAACCTCCCCCGCAACTAGCTGTCATCTGCTCTCCATCTATGAGTCTGTCTCTGTTTTGCTTGTTAGTTCCGTTTGTTCATTAGATTCCACATATGAGTGAAATCCTATGGTATTTGTCTTAAAGGAGCTCAGTCTCTCTAGGTGCTTTGCATAATGGAACTCAGTCTTTAACAGGAACAAAGGATCGGGAAAGCAAAGCAAGCTGAAATCCACCAGCACTCAGAATTTCATTTTAGTGCTAATTACAACTGCATTCTTCACTGTGGCTTTTATTAAAACTATTCTCCACACTACTAATATGACTTTCATTATCTTGTTATTTCCCTATCCCACCCTTCAGTGGAAATGAGTATTTAGAAATACAATGATCAAAGAAGGGAGAGAGAAGGAAAGGAGCCAAGAGGCCTGAATTATAGAAGGTTTGAACAATCAGTTCCCATTCCTTTCCTAGATCATTGTACTTAATAACCCAAGTGTGACTGACGTGCTTGGGCATGTGCACAAGCATACCTCTGTTCCCTGGACTGAGGACCAGTCACTACACATCTAGCCACACAATCCAGAGGAGGAAGTCATGAAATACAAGGTCTGCTCAGCAGAGTCTGTCCTTCCCACATCTCTTCCCCTCCCTGGATCTCAGGTGCATTCTGAACCCTCAAATGGAGACGGTAACAATGGCCACTATCAGCCTTGGAACGGATTTTTTGAGGATTTACATAAAAGTGCTTTGAAATGAATGGAACAATAAATATTATTATCCTATCCAGAATATATGTTTTTGTTGGCAAAGGCAGCTTTCCAGAGCTTAACTACAGGTCAGGAAGAAACGTCACTGTGGGCACGGTCCCCATTTACCAGCACCCCAGGAAGGGTCTTGTTGCAGTGGGTCAGACTGCCCAAATGCTTCTTCAGATGAGTTGTTTTTTTTTCTTTAAGATGTTATGTACAGACAATACATTTACAAGTTATAAGTGTGTAAGATATGCTTTTAAAACAAACATGCGATCATTTTCTTGGCACCAAATCATGACTCACCTTCAGGACCAAATTTGGCCTCAGAGCTAGTAGAGCCAAGGGCCACACCCAGGATCCTTGGAAAAGCTCCTGGGTCACACCCTGCACAACCGAACTGTCAGCAAAACTGCTGGCCCTGCCTTCCCAGTGCAGCTAGAAGCCATGTTCTTCTTACCACCTTCACTGCTCCCGCCCATTCGTTCACCATCTCTCCCATGGCCTTACTGCAGTGGCCTCCCAACCGGTGTCCTGATTCAAGCCTCACACACCTCCTGTTCTCATCAGCCAGGATGATCCCCTTAAGTCCTCTCGCCAGGCTCAGGACTCTTCCCATCTACCCCAGAGTAAAAGCTAAACTCCTCCAGAGACCACCTAGCCCCTCCTGCAAAATCCACATCTCCACCCATTCCTTGCCTCTCTGACCACATCTTTTATTTTGCCCCAGTCCCTGGTTTCCTTCTTGTTTCCTGAAGCCACCACAGGTCAGGGCTTCGCGTTTTCTGTTCCCCAAATCTGGAACAGTTGCATTCCAAATGTCCACAGGGCTCACTCCCTGTCCTCTCTCGAGTGTTCCCCGACCACCCAATTCTAAATTGCAATCCTGCCACCACCCCTGGCAGTCCCCATCCCCTTGCATTGGACTTCTTGCCATGGTACTCCATCATCATATAATTGTCTTATTTAATTGTGTTTATGACTTGTGTTCCTTTACTAACATGTAACATCCCAGAGGACAGGAGCTTTTCTCGTTTCATTTTCTGATGGCCCACAGTAGGCCCTTAACAAATATTTGTTGAATGAATGAACAGTGTCTGATACATATAGATGCTCAGTAAATGTTTACTATGATTTACAGTAATAGATGTGCATTTATCTACAGGCATGTTTCAATACCGTACATGCAAGTAAGAGGCTAGTGTGTCTCTAGGTACACATATGTACGCCTATGTATCTCCTATACATGCTTCCTGAGATGCTGGATAGTCATATACGGAATATAATACAGTACAATAGAGAAAACAGTGTAGTGGTTGTTTGAATTACTGAAACACCATCAGCCACGTGGCCGGCTTGAAAACCTTGATGAGTATCAGAACCACCTAAAGACTTGTTAAATATAAAGATGACTGGGTCCCACTCCCCAAGATTTTGACTCAGTGGTGCTATGGTCTGAATGTGTCCCCCCAAATTCATATGTTGAAATCTTATCTCCCAAAGATGGGCCCTTCGATGGTACATAGTTAGTGAGGGTGGATTGTTGCCTTATAACAGAGGCTCCAAAGAGCTCCCTAGAACCTTCCACCATGTAAGAAAACAGCAAGAAGTGCCAGCTATGAATCAGGAAGAGGGCTTAGCAGGAGACCACGTTAATGCCTTGATCTTGGGCTTCCCAGAACCATGAGGAATAAACTTCTGTTGTTTTTAAGCTACCTGGTTTATGGTATCTTGTTATAGCAGCCCCATCGGACTAAGACAGTACGTCTGGAGGGGGGCCCAGGCAGCTCTGTTTTTGACAACCTTCAGGGAAGATTCTGATGCACGCAACATTTGAAAGCCCCTGAAGCATATTATGAATATCTTGAGTAAAGAGCCCAGCCTGTTTTGAATCACCCACCACGCCAGCTGTCAGGGGAGGCAGGGAGTAAGGCCATAATGACTGTTATGTATTGATTTACTGGCTGTGTTAGCTTTTGACTCCATAAACAGGAATCATTTATGGGCCAAGCTGTACAATTTAAAAATTGATCTAAGACTTTAAATGTTCTTTTAAGACTTTACTAAAATACTACCTCCAGAATCATATTGAGCAGAAATGGATTTCAGATCCATCAGTTTTCTATTTTAAACAACAGAAAACTAGGCCAGATTATATTCCACCACCACCCCCCCCTTTTGAACCTGCACCTGAACAATTTGGTATAACTTCTAGATGACTGAGATAATGGCCTCCTGACAGAGCGCAGAGAAAACCAACATCCTGTTTATGCCAATACAGGGTCCTATTTTCATATCCCAGGAGTGACCTCAAGAAGCAGCTGAACATGCTGACCAGTTATTGTCTAAACATTAATTACACCCAGAGTAGCACTGTTGTTCTTGAGTCTTGGCAAATGCACTCTGACAACCAGATGGAGAACTCTGAGCCATGGTGTTCCATGGATGAATTCACTGAGCTATCAGGGAGCTCATGCTGCAGCTAACCTACCCTGGCAGCTCCCTGTGCTCAAAATAAAATATTGCCGGTGCCTCAGAGTTAGGGGTGTGATCACTTCGTAAGTTGCATATATGTCTAATCACTATGCTGTACATCTGAAACAAATACAATATTGTACACAATTGAACTGTACTTGAAAATTTGTTTATGAAAAAAAATTTTAGATTAAAAAAATATTACCGGTACCCTCAGGAAAAATAAAATAAAATAGGGGTTGGACTTTGGATTTGGTTTGGGTTCTAATCCAAGCTCTGCTACTTGGATTTGGGTTTGGTTTGGGTTCTAATCCAAGCTCTGCTACACCTCAGTTGTCTGTCTTAAAACAAGGCAAAGTTTTCAGAACTAAATTTGATCATCAGTACAAACAGAGAGCCATGCTCAGTAATGTTTATCATTTATTAATAGCAGTAGAAATATAGGACCATTGATGGCAATACTCATTTGCGTTTTGGGCTATGTCCTTTCCCTGCCCCCGCTCCACACAGGTGCCTAGCCCCTCACTACAAACTACTCCCCAGAAGCTGTGAAGTTCAAGTTGCTGGCAGACGGCTTGCCATTCTGGCTACCGTTTCCCTTAAGCCAGAGATCCTTGGGGGAAATTCTGTTACGAAGAAGACACAGAGATAAGATTCCTCCAAATGAGGAAGGGACCAAAGGTCTGAGGAGCCCACAAGTGGCAGGTGCCAGAAGCAGAGCCTCTGGGGACGAGGGACATGCTGCCCTGAGCACTGGGGCTCCAGCTGGACATAGACCACAGGGGCCTTCACCTTGCTCAGTGCACCTGCTCCCTTCTAGTAACCTCATGGGCTCGAATGAGGAGCGCAGTGCAAAAATCGTACTGCACTGAAGACTGGAAGGCCCTCTCCTGTTTCAGTAAATATTTTGAAATTTTGTTTGACTCTGGGGAGCTGAAGCCAAACACGGACTGAAACTGAATTTCCTACTAGTCAGGCAAAATAGAGTCTCAGAGGAATATTTAATTTCAATTCAAATACAATAGAGCATAAACGCTTATTTATGAAGTAATGTTTATGTCTACTATAGTAAGAGTGGTATCAGGCTTATTATTATTTTTTATTCCCCTCCCACGAAGCATTCAACCAATGAATGCATAAATAAGTGGCACAAAAAATTGTGTCTCTGTCCCTTCTTCTCTAAAATCAATGAAAAACTTTGAAATTAGAAATGCAGGTAGTATAATCATAGTGCAAAATCATGGCAGTTTGTAGTGTATGTTACTGCCTAAAGTTGAGAAGTAGATTGTAGTACTTCCTGGTACTACACTAATTGTAGTTTCTGGTTTCTGACTCAATTATTCCTGCCAGATACAAGTATTTCAAGCAAGCGTTCGTCCATGCACTTGCCCAGACCACAGTGGCTGCACTGGCTAAGTCCTCGCTCCACCCAGGGGAATTCCTACAACAAACCTGCCTGCAGATGCAAGGGGGCCCACAATTAACAGAATAGGTTCTTTCAACTCCTCATAAGTGTTTATTTGCTAACTGCACACGTATGATCAAGGGCCAGCCTTTCAACCGCAGACTATCTATTCATAAAACGCTCCCTGTCCTCATTATAGAACTGTCTGCCATTAAGTTAGTTTGTGATACTCAGGAAATACAGTCTAAGGCAATGAATGGTCTTCAAACTAGGGCACACATACCCCTGAGGATACACAAAGACTTTTCAAGAGGTTATCCAAGCACAGGGAGCTGTAAAGGGATTAATTTCCAGATCAACTTCCAAGGGTCTACTTTCCTAAAATTAACAGGCTCAAAAAAAGCCTCTATGTCCAAAACTATGTTTATCCACTTTACAAAAGAAAGGCACCATGCAAACCTCACTGTGTTGCATTGCAAGGGGTGGGGAGTTAAGACTTCAGGCCAAACCAAATGGAAACCTTTTCAAATAGCTATTCAAAGCACCATGAACCTATAAAAGCTGCCTGTCTTGCACACATTTCTGATACAGGTGAAGCTGGGTCTTAGAAACGAAATACGGTTGCTAGGAGAATAGGCAAATTTTTGCCAAACAACTTTGCCTCTTCCTTCTCCTAAGTATTGTCAAAGGATAAGGATCTAGAGGGATGCAATTCAGGAATTCAAAGCAAAATGAGCACTGGAAAAAATATTGAACACTGAAAATTACTTTTTTTTTAAATTTTGAAAAGATTTTATTTATTTATCTTTAGAGGGGAAGGGGAGGACAGAAGGAGAGAAATATCAATGCATGGCTGCCTCTCGTGAGTCCCCTGCTGGGAACTGGCCTGCAACCCAGGCATGTGCCCTGACTGGGAATCAAATGTGATCCTTTGGTTCGCAAGCCCGTGCTCAATCTACTGAGCTACACCAGCCAGGGCTGAAAATTACTTTTTAATGTAGTTAAGGGTAAGCACGTTTTTCCAGCTCATCTCAATACTCATACTGGATATTTTTTAATTGATTTTATTGGGGTTACATTAATTAATAAAATTATATAGGTTTCAGGTGTACATTTCTATAATATGTCCTCAAACTCTGAGTCCTCTGAGGATATAGTTGGCTTTGTTCATGGCTTCATCCTCAGTGTACAGAAGAATACCTGCCTCATAATAGGATCTCAATAAACAGTTGTTAAATGAAGGGATTTTTCAGTCAAATCATTGTTGCCTAATTACCTAGACAGTTGCTAATATTAATTTACTGCTTCCTCCAACTTACAAGAGTATATGGAAAGTTACAGGTTTCCTTTGTTCTCATCTTTGGTGTGATAACTCAGGGCCATGGCGAGTATTCCTGTTAAGTGTGGCAAACACCTAACTACCTCCAAATCTGAGTCACCAAAATGACCAAAGCCTAAATACTGCAGAGGTCTCCCTAGGGTCCCAGCAACTTAGGACCAGACTCCAGGTAGCAGTGGTCTTCCTCTCAAGATAAAGGGAGATGAACAAGGGCTGGCTTCTCTGCCTGCCCCGGGTTCTCTCTGCACAACTTGTCCAGTAACCACTGCCTTTTACTGTCTCCTTCGGGAAAGAATTCCATTCAATAACCACATGGTCACCATCCTCAGCAAAATCTGTAGATGGGTTCCTCTTAAACATTCAAAAAGTAGTTTTAAACTTGCAGAAGATAATGAAATACTAAAAAAAAAAAACCCAAAACCCAGATACATAGTCTCTTATCAGCATCTTTATCTGCATGGTAGCAGCCTAAGAGTTGACGGTACATGGTTTATGTAATGCCACAAAAACTGCTCACAGGGAAAGAATCTGCTGCTCTCAGAAGCCACAGAGGTGAGATACAGGTTTTCCTAGTCTCTTTTATTCAAGCTGGAATCTGTAGGCCATCTGGGAAAGGAACACTTCATTCCACATATAACCTCTCTTCTCTCTGCACACGCTTATGCAGTCAGTCTCTTGACTGTAAAACCAAGATTACTTGGGTACATAAATCTCCATTTCTTAAACACACTGTGCATAAATTCAACTCAATGGGGCTGTTGTTAAGCCACTCATGTTAGCACATCATCCTAAGTGCTGTGGGTCACACAAAGGAAATAAACAACAACCTTGTTTACCCTTAGTCATTCTGAACCCCTTTCAGTTCGCCAAGATTTGACATCCGAATAATACTGCTTTTCTCCTAACCCTCTAGAAAACTTTAGAAACATAAATTGAATCATGTCTCAAACACAAGAAGAAAGGCATTAATAGAAACCACAAAGCAGTGGTTTCTTCTCTTTCTGGGGATCAGTGATCCCCTAATCATAATAATCACATGATATAATTTCCCCTATACTTTTTCAAATGCTTTACATTTCAGACAGTGAACATCTGAGTCAATAGGGAATAAACTGGGAGCCTTGACCACATGAGAGTTTAATGATGAGACTCTGAAAGGGATTCCTTTCAGGAAGCACATTATAAAGGAATTTTCTAGACAAAAAGAAAATGTACTTCTTACCTCCTACCAACAAGTAGCTGTTGGGAAATAGTGTTTTTGCTTGCATAAGTGCCCTTGCATGGCCTGAATGAAAGAGGTCAAATATTCCATCTGCATACACTCTGACAGGCCTGTCAACTGTCGGAGAAAGAAAACATCATTAATGGAACTGCAGAATTAGAAATCCCTGTTACCTGATTCTTCCATTGGTGTAGCAGCACAGGAAAGTTTACCTGGATAAAACACAAGGTCATGTACTATCAATTTCCTATTAGAGCACGAAATTAATTTTACAAAGAGGTTCTTCTGAGGACATCAAAAAAGGGTAAAAATATAACAAAATTATGACTGGCTCACATTAAGAACACGTATTTCTGGCTAATAGGAAAGACATATACAGAGCACTGGGGAGTTCTCTTGACCCAGAGCAGAGTCTCAGGGGTCAGCGCAGGCACATTCAGACAGACCAGGCATAACCAAAGGGTTGGTGGAGTCATCCCAGTGGGAATATCAAGGCAGGAGGAACTGAGGAGATCAATGAGAAGGATGAATGACTTTAGCCTTGAGCTTGGCAGTCCCGGATGAAGACCTGTCAGTCCTGTTCCCCAAGTCAGTGATATAGGAGTTGCTCATACTGCTCAGAGAGACAGTTACATATGCTTTTATCCCCAACTCCGTCACACTGGTAGCTAGAAATTAGCCTTAGTAGGAACATTTACCTACAGAAACTGGCAAATGCTACAAATCAGGGCCCATGTCCCCCTGGAGGGCTGATTGTTAAACATTTATCAGCATACTACTGCACAAGGATCACTCCATAACCTCTTTGGTAACATGAGAGAAGGGGAGGGGAAACATATACCCCCCAAAAGAGAGGAGAACCAGAGGACAAAAGTTACATGTGGTAGGGTGGAGCTCAGGGTGGGAGGTAAGCAACCAACGCTGCAATCTTTCCTAAGGAAAAAAGTCATAGCAGACACTCTCACAATGGCACACGGAGCTCTGGGAAGTGCCTTTCCATGAGGAAGGAGAACACACTTCACCACAGCTCTCTGGAAGCCAGGAGACTGAGCTAGAAAATGCAGGCTGACACTCTTGCTGAGCCAGCCCAAAGACCTAGCCCCTCCAATCATAGGGAGACACTGGAGGACACAGAGGTTGGGTGCCAAGTTTTACATCATTCTGGACTCTCACCAAAGGAACTACAAAGTGAGAAGATGGCAAACTACAAGCTAAATGTGGCAAACTGAACATACACACACATCTCCACTTCCTGCCAAATACCATTAAGAATTACAGAGAAAAATATTAAAAAGGTGTAAGAAATAAAAAGGCAATGACAGTGGATGAAGGATGTCCACAGCATTTTGGAAAGCTGATTGTCAAGTGCTGAGTGTCTACAGGAAGCAAGACTGGGGGGGGAGGTAGGGAAAGGGACTGCTGGGTTTTTTTTTAGAAGCCTAAGAGTCTTACTGATTTTTAAAACTATATGCATGTGTTATGTTGATGCTATAAAATAAAATTTAAGAAAGCAGTCAATGCAAACTTCAGTTGAGTGATCTTTAAGACTGAGATTTAAAATTGTGATTATTTCTTAATGTAGTACAACCACATTAATTTGGAGTATAAATTAAAAGAAATGTTACATTAATAGATTCAGATGGTAAAATGTTTCTAATAAATTAAATTTCTCTAATAAAAATACTGGAGGCTTTATGTAAGATAGGGGATTGCAATTATTTCCAATTATACACCATTTTGAACAAACAGAATTGCCTTCACAGGATTATCCTGTATTCCAAATAAAGCGCAGTAAATAGAAAATGCTTTGAAATAACAAACTGCCTAATGAGGGATCCTTGGTTTCAATGCTCTTATTCAATTTGAATTCAATTGAGGAAAATTTGTTTTAAGTTATAAACCCCAGGGGAAAGCAGATGGCAGTTTTACAGAACTTTTTCTTACTGATTCAAAGGTGATCAAGATAAATGGATTCAAGAAGCAAGGAAGAAAGAAAGTAAAGAATGATGACATAATTATTGAGAAAAAGGCCATTTAGTACATCTTTTAAGAGTATTTGTGGAGCTGATTTTGCAATAAGCCCACTTTTACAAATGTAATGTGTCAGCAATTTCTAGATTGGGAAACTCTACAGGACCAAAAGAAAGGGGGGGAGGAACTCTGCCTCTTCAACAAATAAACTTCAAGAAAAAAAGAGAAAGAGAGATGGAAGAGAAACCTGCATATTAAGAAATCTAAAAGACATATAAACATATTGTAATGTATAAACGTTATTTGGATTTCAGTTCAAACTATAAATAAACGATGACATAAGACAACTAGGAATTTTAATATGATATTAAAGAATTACCAGTAATTTTTTAGGTGAGATATTGGTCTAGTGATAATGCTTTAAAAAACAGTTACAGTCACACCTCAGTACTCGTTGGCTTCAGTGCTCATCAAAGCCTGTACTCATCACATTTTGACGAGAAAAAAAAAGTTTCAGCACTCGGTGCTTGCTCATGACTCACTGGTTTTGGCACTTGTCATGACTTCCAGAACAAATTAATAATGAATACCGAGGTATCATTTTATTTTATATACAGACACACAAATATATACATGAAAGTATAGGAAGCCCTATTCAAATAATTCAAGAGAGAAGAGTAGATGGGACAATACTGACCATGGTTTGGGTTGCAATTAAGTATGGGTGACAGACTCATGAGAGTTTATCATGTTGATTTATTTTTGTGTATGTTTGAAATTCTCCATAATAAGAATTTTTAATAGAATGTGTCTTTTTTTTAGTTTGTATGTTTTAACGTTTTGTTTGAGGTTTCTCTGGACATCCTTTTAGGCATCTGGGGATTCTCCAGAGCATCTATATTGGGAAGCGCTATAGAAGCACTATTGGTGCTTCTATATTGGTGAAGCTGGAGTTTAACAATTATCACAAGTAGGAGCACAGCTATTCCATGGCTACAGTTTAGAGACCTTAAGGTGGCTCCCAATGATCTTCTGCTCCCTGCTATTCACACCTTTGTGTGACCCCCTCCCTTTGACGTGTGAGTGGAACCTATGACTTGCTTGTAATAGAATCTGGCAAAGATGATAGATGGCACTCCCATGATTATGCTACAGTATATACGACTTTGTATTGCTAGCAGACTCACTCTCCCTTGGTGGCTTTGAAGAAGCAAGCTGCCACGTTGTGAAAGTGCCTATATAGAGGGCCACATGATAGGGAGCTGCAGGTTCCTCTAGGAGCTAAGGGTGACCTCTGCCTGACAACCAGCAAAAAGCTAGGTCCTTCGTCTCACAGTTGCAAGAAAATAAATTCTTCCAACAATCTGAGTAAGCTCGAAAGTAGACCTATCACCAGTCAACCCTCCAGATAACAACTGAGCTCTGGGTGACATCTTGAATACAGCCTTGTGAGACCCTGAGCAGTGGCCTCAGCTAAGCAAGGCTTGAACTTCCTAGCCATAGAAATTATGATGTAACAAATATGTATTGTTTGATTTGTTTTTACCAAAATACATATTGTTCTGCTTGTAGTGACCTTTTGTTAATTGCACAAAATCATGTTTTGTTTTTGCTATTTAAACACTATCATACGATCCTATTCTGAAAGACATGTTCATGAAAAACAAAACTAAAAATTCACAACCTTAAAAACCTAGAAGATGTCATTTAAAGGAAAAAAAGAGTCTCATCTAAAGAAAAAAACAGAAGGGGCTTTCTCGCAAGCTTTTTCACAAGTGTCACATTTTCTCCTTAAAAAGGAATGATTTCTCTTTTTTGAACATTTTCATGTTTTAATATGTATAACCGTTTTAATATTAACAATGCCTAGTTGGATATGTAATACCCTCTTTAGCAACTAATAGAATAAGTAGATAAAAAACAGTAAGCACACAGAAGATTTAAAAAGCATGATGATTAACCAACCTGACAACTTGATCTAGGCTATATTTATAGAACATTACAAGCAAATGCTATAGAATACCATCTTCACTGGAACACGTGGAACATTTATCAAAATGCACTGTAAACTAGCCATTAACGATTCTCAAAATGTCAAACAACTGAAATTATGGAGTATAGTCTCTAATCTAATTCAAGGAAATTAAAATAGAAATCAACAACAGAAAGATAACAAATTCCCAGATGTTTAGAAGTAATATGCTTCTAAAAATCCCATGCATCAAAGAAGACTCAGTGGAAATTATAAAATATTCTGGGTAACCCAAAGTAGCCTGTAAGAGGTTAAATTTATTAGAATATTTATATTACATACTTTAAAAATTACTAGGATTTTTTGTTCTTCTGCTTCAGTTTTTTTTTTTAAATAAATGTTTTGAGATATCACCTACTCTCAAGGACTCTCAAATCAAAAGGGAAGGATTTCAAAACAAAGATGAAACACCTTAACAGAAATATTCATTAAAAGGAACTTTACATCCTGGCTGGTGTAGCTCAGTGGATTGAGCATGGGCCTGAGAACCAGAGGATCATGGTTTGATTCCCAGTCAGGGCACATGCCTGGGTTGCAGGCCAGTTCCCAGCAGGGGACACACGAGAGGCAACCATACATTGATATTCCTCTCCCTAACCCTTCCCCTCTAAAGATAAATAAATAAAATTTTTTAAAAAAGGAACTTTACAGAATTCTCAACAATGTTAAGACAACACTGAGCTCTGGCCAGGTAGCTCAGTTGGTTAGAGCATCAACCCAATACACCAAGGTTGTGGCTTTGATCCCCAGTCAGGGCACATATACAAATCAACCAATGAATGCATAAATAAGTAGAACAACAAATTGATATTTATCTCTCCCCCTTCTCTCTCTCTCTTAAATCAATAAGTAAATAAGAGTTTCTTAAAAGAAAAAAACACTTAAAGACAACACTGAGTAACCACTTGCATTATAGCATCTTTCATTGGAATTCAAAATGCAAGTGAAATCAACTGTGCCAAAAACCCACTGGCAGAATCTTCACAGGCCACCTCATTTTATGTATATAATTAGATATCCCTCCTCACCTTTCACTTTGTATACTTCATTGGCTGCAGTCATCATTGTAGTTGGACGGTTGACGGCACTGCCCAGTGCGATGGCTGAGTGAAGATCCTTACGAATGTATTTCATGTGGAAATCAGGCTTAAAGTTTCCTTGCAGAATATTTTGGCACTTGTGATCTAAGATGATGCTGGTTAATTTTCCTTGGTTGAAGAGGTCCAAGAATGTCTACACGGGCTGACATGTCTCTTGGGTCCAGGTCAGCCCCTCAGCAATGGTGGCCCTAGCGTCCATCTAGGACACAGGTGGCAAACACAAGGCTGGAGGGCCGAATCCAGCCCTCCACCTTGTTTCTAGCCGGCAGCAGTGCCAAGCTCCTTGTCCCTAGTTAAGGAGTAGTTACATTTATACCATCCTAAAATGACATTTGACCCTTTGAAGGCAACCTTGAGGCTGATGTAGCCCCCGGTGAAAATGAGTTTGACATCCCTGACCTAGGAATATAACAGGCTTTGTGTTCAGACAGAAAAGAATTCAAAATCCAAATGAAATTGCCTGTTCTGAAAACCCACAGGCATCTTCCCTGCCCTCGCCCATATCTTCTAGGATGGGTGCTGAAAAGCAGTGAGAACAGGCTTCCGGGACGCTCACCTACAAGCTGACTGCTTGCTGCTGTCCCTGGAAAGTCCTGCTTTCACTTGCCTTAGCCAATCTCTTTTCAGTGCACAAAGGCATTTCTGGAGAGTTGGTTGCACACCGGTAGCTTAAACATGACATTCCTCATCACCTGGTCACCTGAGGCTGCAGGGCCCACAGGGTCCTCTGTTTAGTCTGTGCTGGTCTATCTTGGCCCAGAGCACAGGTAGCAAATACAAGACCCCCGGGCCAAATCTGGCCTTCTGCTTTGCTTTATGTGGTCCGGCACCTTGTTTCTGCCCGGTAGCAGTGCCGAGATCCTTGCTCCTAGATAAGAAGTAGTTACATTTATACAGTCCTGAAATTACATTTGGTCCTTTGAAGGCAACTGAGAGGCTGATGTGACCCCCGGTGAAAATGAGTTTGACATCCCTAATCTAGAACTATAACAGGCTTTGTGTTCAGACAGAAAAGAATTCAAAATCCAAGTGAAATCGCCTGTTCCAAAAACCCACAGGCATCTTCCCTGCCCTGGCCCCATGTCTTCTGAGATCCCATAACCTGGGTTGATGAGTGGAAAAGGGCCAAGGTCATGAGGGGGAGGGGCCCACACTAGTGCGGCCACCTCATTTTATGTATATAATTAGATATTATTCCTCACCTCTCACTGGTGGCCCTCAGAACCCCCTCCTCAAGGCCTGGAATGCAAATCTAAACACTAAAATAGCCTGTTGAGGAGTAAACTCTCACTATACCAAAACAAAAAGTCTGAACCCAGTCCAGGGGTCCACAGTGATGGTACCTTCCATGACTTCCAGGACAGGTGCTGAAGAGCAGTGAAAACAGGCTTCTGGGAGGCTCACCTACAAGCTGACTGCTTGCTGCTGTCCCTGGAAAGTCCTGCCTTCACCAATCTCTTTTCAGTTCACAAAGGCATTTCTGGAGAGTTGGTTGCACACCGGTAGCTTAAACATGACACTCCTCATCACCTGGTCACCTGAGGTTGCAGGGCCCACAGGGTGCTCTGTTTAGTCTGTGCTGGTCTATTTTGGCCCAGAGCACAAGTAGCAAACACAAGGCCTCCGGGCCAAATCTGGCCTTCCGCTTTGCTTTATCCGGTCCGCACCTTGTTTCTGCCCGGCAGCAGTGCCGAGATCCTTGCTCCTAGATAAGAAGTAGTTACATTTATACAGTCCTGAAATTACATTTGGTCCTTTGAAGGCAACCAAGAGGCTGATGTGACCCCCAGTAAAAATGAGTTTGACATCCTTAGCCCAGAGCCTCTCTGTGCAAGGAATCCAATAGGGACTGCGGAAATGACCGCAGCCTCTTTGCTCTGAGGGAAGCAGTGGGAAGGCTTCCAGTTTCCACTGCTGATTCTAGTTCCTCAACTGGGAGGAGTCTGAGATAAGACAAGCTTGGAAGAAGGGGTAAAAAAAAAAGTCAGGAAGCAGTTTCTGGGCGGCTTGTATCCTGGAGTAAGAGCGGGTGGAGGTGGGGGTGGGAACACACATCCACCTGTGCCTTGCCACAGAGCAGTCCTGCTGACACTCCTCCCTTTCCCAGGACCTTCAGGGGAAGAATAAATGCTGTGTGCTATACTAATGAGAAGTCTCAAAGTCTGTATAAAAGGAGATGAAAACAAGTAAATTGGTCCAGAGTAAAGTCCCAGGACCCCAACCCCGTGTGAGGAAGAGGGGGTCCTAGGGGAGATCGGGGGAGTAGGGGCTTAGTGCATGTAGGCCTGGGACAGGGCAGACATGCCGCTGTCAGCCTGGCTCAGTGCCTCAGCTCTTTTGTATACCTCACTGGCTGCAGTTGCCATTGTAGTCGGATGGTTGATGGCATTGCCCAGTGCAATGGCTGAATGAAGATCCTTAACAATGTATTTCATGTGGAAATCAGGCTTAAAGTTTCCTTGAAGAAAATTCTGGCACTTTGGGTCTAAGAAGATGCTGGCCAATTTTCCTTGATTGAAGATGTCCAAAAATGTCTGAGGGGACTGACCTGTCTCTTGGGCCAAGGTCAGCCCCTCAGCAATGGTGGCCATGAAGCTCCCCTGGACCATGTTCACAATCAGCATCATCTTGGCTGCACTGCCAACCTCACCTAGAAAGAAGGTCTTCCCCATTGCCTGGAAGCAGCTGCTGCAGTCCTCATATAAGCCCTTGTCTCCAGCTGCTAAGATCACCAACATCCCATCATTAGACAGCTGCTGGTTGCGTAAGACAGGGGCTTCCAGAAAGCGCCCGCCCCTAGACACAATCACCTGGGCCAGCTCGGTGACTGTGTCAGCATCCACTGTTGACAGGTCCACATAGCACTTCCCAGGGCAGATCCCTTGCAGCACACCACCAGGGCGCAGCACCAGATCCTTGGCTGCCTCTGAATCCGGCGCATAGGCAAAGGTGATGTCACAAGATGAAACAACTTCGGCGGGGGTTCTTCCTAGGCAGGCCTCCTCTTTCTCGGTAGTCGGGTTCCAAACAGTCACCTTGTGACCCGTTTTTAGCAAGTTGGAGACCATGCCATTTCCCATGAGGGTCAGGCCCAAAAATCCTATCTTTTTGTCTGTGGGTATGATGCTGCCATTCATGACCCCGCTGTCTGCTGCCTGGATGGAGACTGATCCAGTCTCATTTCCACTTACTTTGAACCTCTCTTTGATTTGCTGGTAACAGACAGCTGCCTTCCTGATTTGACTGAGCAGGAAGTGATCAAAGTGGGGGTCTGCGCTCGCAGGCTCACCGCTCGCAGTCCACTGCCCCTTAAGTGAGGCCACTGGTCCAGCTGCCGTCTCCTTCATGGTTCTAGACTCAGGAACGGCGAAGTTCTTTGGAGATTGCCTGTGCTTCTGGGAACCCTGCGGTTGGGCTCTTTTTGGAGGGGACTTGGAGCCTCCCTCTGAAGATTCTGAAGATCCTGAAGACACTGTCTCCTTTCCTTCTCCCATGTTCTTCAGCTTCCCTTCAGACAGAGACAGGCAACGCTCACATTTCTTATCACATGAGTCTGGCTGACTTCTTTCCCCACTGGAATTATCCCGATTCTTGTCTTCAGCAGAATTGTGAGACGGCGTCTGTTTTTCCTCGGTGGCTGTTCGGAGGTACTCTTCCACATCATTCACAGCTCGCCGGAATAGTTTTCCCTTGTGAACCTTTATTATTTCCTCCTTATGCGCATGATATGGCTTTAGCTGTTTCGTTTCCATCCAGGCATGATCCTCCATTCCAAAAAACTTCACAAAGTAGTACTTCTTTCCACGCGGTTTCCGCAAACTTTTGGGCGCAGTAATAATCTTTGCCGGCCAAGGAGGATATGGGCCGAGTTTCCCCCACACCAAATCTCCAAGCCGCAGACTCACAGGCGCCATTTTACCACACAACTACCGAGGACCACCACTACGACCACCACCACTACAATGATGAACAGGCTGCACGCGGAAGCTGAAGTCACCCAGGTGCTGCCTGTTGGACCGTGCTGGGCCACATGACGGAGTCAGCTCAGGGACTGGGGTCGGCTCACGGGGAAGAGGGGTGGCTCACCAGGAAGGGAGGTGGCACACGGGAAGCTGGACGGCTCACGGGAAGCTGGACGGCTCACGGGAAGCAGGACGGCTCACGGGAGGCAGGGCGGGAGGCAGGACGGCTGACGGGAGGCAGGACGGCTGACGGGAGGCAGGACGGCTGACCGGAGGCAGGGAGGCAGGAAGGCTCACGGGAGGCGGGACACCTCACGGGAGGCGGGACACCTCACGGGAGGCGGGACACCTCACGGGAGGCGGGACAGCTCACAGGAGGCTGAACGGCTCACGGAGGAGAAGCAGGGAGGCTCACAGAGAAGCGGGAAGGCTCAAGGAGAAGCGGGGTGGCTCACCAGGAAGGGAGGAGAGGCTCATGGGAAGGTGGGCAGCTCACCAGAAAGGGGGCGGCTCGTGCACCGTTTTACAGCACTAGGTCTATGTATGAAACGTGCACTGTTTTACGGCACTACGTCTGCGACTGAAACGTGCAATCTTTTACGGCACTGGGTCTGTGTCTGAGGTGTGCTCTGTTTTACGCCACTAGGTCTGTGGCTCAAACGGGCACTGTTTTATGCCACTAGGTCTGTGATAAAATGTTATATATCATAGAAAATTAATACAACGGCATTATACACTTTCTGCCCATAGATTATAAAATTTCTAAAGCATTTAAAGTAAATTCCTCTTTATCCTGAATGGTTACAATAAGTATATTAGATAAATGTGATGTTCTGGTAGAATGTATGTCTATATTACCACACACTGATAACTGTATTTTAAATAAACAAAACAAATTAGGCATAACACCAAAATGATGCTTGATATTTGCTTGAGGATCATGGATACAAATACTGACCATGGTACAGTACTGTGGGGGAAAGTCTGATTGTTTTAACTTTCTAGATACTACATTCCAAATTTTTATAAGTTATTCAGCACTTTGAAGTAAATGAAATGATAGGAGGAGCTATGCTTACCTCTCATCTCATACTACATACAAAAATTAATTCAAAATGGATCATAGACCTAAATGTAAGAGCTATAACTATAAAACCTCTAGGAGGAAACAGGAGAAAAATCTCAGTGAATTAGGCAAAAATTTCTTAAATAGGACCTGAAAAGGGTACACTATATAACCAAAAAAAACAAAGGTAAAATGAACCTTATTTAAAACTTACACTCTTCAAAAATGAAAAGGCAATTTATAGGGAGAAAATATTTCCAAAAAAATATATCAGATATTCGACTTGTATCTAAAATATATAAAGAGTTCCCAAAACTCAATAAGACCAATAACTCATTTTAAAAGGGGGAAAAAATGAACATTCCACCCCAAAAAGTAAATATATGGATGGCAAAGCTCATGAAAAGATGCTCAATATCATTAGTCATCAGGGAGATACAAATTAAGGACATAATGATATGCCACTTCATACCCCTAAAATGGCTAAAAAATTTTTTTAAATACTGACCATACCTATCAAGTATTGGTGAGGTTATAGAGTAACGAACTCTTACACATTGCTGGTCGAAATGTAAAATAGTACAATTGTTTTGGAAATCAGTTTGGTGTTGGTTTAAAAGTTAAGCCTACACTTACAGGTTATGCTATTTCTTGGTATTACTTCAGATTCAGGTAACAACAAAAAAGGGTAGTTATTCATTTTTTATTATGGCTATTAGCAACCTACATTTAAATAATGCCTTAAAAGTATATATGACTTATAAAACCCATATTTCACTTGATCTTCACATCAACTTTGTAAAGTAGGTAGAGTGGACTTAATATTCTCATTTCATAGAGGAACAAATGGAAGCTCAGCCAAATTAAGCAGTTTACAGTGTTATACAACCAACCTATGAATTCCCAACACCCAGCAGTTGTGGTAACTAGTATTGTTTTTGTATACAATTGATGCGCAAAAAGTGGCACAGAAATTAACCTTTAAAACCTAACAGTTACATATTCTATAAAGTTTACATAGTTTTATATAAACTTTATACCTCCCTTCTAAAGCCAGCAATACTATTTTCAATAGATAACGATGTTCGCTTTTTAAATACATTAAAGTTAACAAAAGAGAACATTAAAGAAAAATTAAATAAATAATAGTATAGGTGGCACACAAACAAAACAAGAATCATTAAGGTAACTTTTGAAAAATGAATTTAGAAACTCTACACACTGTGGAAACAGACTAATATAAATCCCCATTCTGAGAAGGAAAACAGGAAATTGGAACTGAGTTCCCTTTTGATGAAAAGGAACCTACGAAATGCTCACTTGAACTTTTCCTTTACCACAAGACAGAGGACTGATTCTCTCTGTCTCAGGACACATACTAAACCCCGTAGATGCATAGCTCCACAACTGGACTAGTTAAGCTAAGGTCAAAGGTGCCGACTCTGACTGCCCTACTATTTTTCGTGATGTTTCATCATCCTTGTGACCTTACTGATGAGGCCCAGAAGCTCAGAGCTATGACCAGAGTTTGTCATTACCTCCTTTAGAATTTATATGCTAGCCTTTGTTTGGGCAGATCTAAGATTGTGAAACATATTGTAGGCAATTGTATTGAGTCATAAAAATAGGGCTAGTGGAAAAGATAGTGAAAGACTTCAGTTATAACTATAATCTTGAAGCACATTATAAACCCCTAGTGCGGGTCTGTTTTGTCTTTTTTGATGGAATGCTCAAGACAGTGCCACAAAAAGGTAATTGCTTACTACTCTTGAAAATTACCAAACACTTCAAAAAAGTAATGTTTTTCTCGTTTTCTTTAAAGAGCAGTACAACAG